CTCCGGTGTATCGACGCATCATGTCGGCGATGTAGACAGCCTCTTGCTCTTTACGTTGTTGTTGGTTGAAGGAGGTATTCGTTCCGTATAACTTTTACTGGCGTTCCTCATCTGCCATTAGACAATAGTAATAGCTCAGGATGAATATTATGGATCAGACAGAAGTTGACCACAGCATCTTACAGTGGAGAATATACTCCACCATAGGAAGCTATCTTATGTTTACTCTCAAGTCTACCTTGGCGGGGATCCCTCTCAGACGTGAAACTTCGGCATGATGATGAACGTCGCTGGGCAGATCCGAGAGGCATCACGTGGATCATCAGCCGCAATCAAATCATTCGAGGGATGAATGACAACTCATACTGGGCCTTTCAGACGCACCACTGACCTCCAACTCGACAGCTGACTGTAAACCGAGTGGATCCCACCACACAACCACGAGTGTAGCCAGTAGCACTCATCAAAAAAATTGTTCAATACCACTTAAAGACGATAACCTTATCATCTTTGGTCAAGACTTAACTGATGGTCTGAGAAAGTGAACGTCCGAGAAGGGATGCCTTCCTCCCGTAACGCATGAGTTTTCTCTTAAGCTGGGCCATGCCCTGACATACGATTGTGCATGAACGAGTCACCGCCTCGCTCTTCAGATGAGCTTCATCGGAGAAAGGCGCGCCGTCACCACCACCAATGATAGCAAGGACGCAGCCAGCCTTGACACCATAGACCTGAGCCAGACTGAAGAGCATGGCTACTTCCATCTCAGACGCTAGGCAGCCGAGATTCTCCAATACTTCCATATAGCGTTTGTGCTCAGCAGCATAGGGGCCGAACTTGAACTCTCTAGCCATGAGGGAATCCTTAGAATGGACCGGGCCAGCGTCGTAGACCCACTGAGCACCTTCCTTAAGCTCTTCATCTTCCGCCTCGAGCTGGTGTTGGGCAGCGCTACACATTGCCGTGACAACAGCAGCCGATCCAAGGGCAGGGAATTCGAGAGGCATGTAATGCCTCGATGTACCCTCATCACGAACAGCACCAGTAGCGATAACGATATCACCGATTCCGAGAGTCTTCTGCATGGCACCAGCGGTACCAACTCTGACGAGGACCTTGGCACCAAGCTTGATCATCTCAGTGGCGATG